GAAGATGGAGCTATAGATCTGACACCTATACAGAACAGGAGGAAGGGAGGAAGGAGCGTTCATAGGAGGAATCTTAGACTAAAGCACAGTTCTGGGAAAACTTTGACTATGACAAAGGAAGTCTTTGAGCCACAGTCACCTACAGATTTTATTAATCTGCTTTAGTTATGTTAGTTCATTTGGCAAAACATTTGCAACTAGGGCTTCTACCTGACTTATGTCTGTAGAAGCTTGCAGTCCTTCTGTGGAAGGACCAGGGAAATGATCAGTCTCATACTTGCTCTAACAGAACAAGGGGATCTTGTGTGGTTTAAAATCAAGGAAGGGGTACAGGGGCACGTCAGGGTTATATCTTTTCACCTACTTACTCAGTCTGTATGCTGAGAAAATCTGAGAAGCTGGATTATATGAAGAAGAACAGGATGTTAGAATTGGAGGAAGACTCATTAATAATGTGCGGTAAGCAAAAGAACAACCTTGCTTGCTGAAATAAATCCAGGACTCAAAGCCCTTACTAATGAACATCCAAGACTACAGCCTTCAGTATGAATTTCACCTACATAAAGAAAAGAAAGATTCTCACAACTGGACCCATAAGCAACATCATGATAAATGGAGAGAAGATTGAAATAGTCTAAGATGCCATTTACTTGGATCCACCATCATTGCCCACGGAAGCAGCAGTTAAGATATCACATGCCATACTGCATTGGACAAACCTTCTGCGCAAGACCTATTTAAAGTGTTAAAGAGCAAAGATGTCATTTTGAGGTTTAAGGTACACCCAACCATGGTATTTTCAATGGCCTGTATTCCTGTGAAAGCTGTATAATGTATAAGGAAGCCTGAAGAATTCGTGCCTTTGAATCATGGTGTTGGCCAAGCATATTGAAAGCCCCATGGACTGCCAGAAGAACACACAAATAAACCAGAACCTTCTGTCGAAAGGAGGATGGTGGGACATGCTCTCAGGAGGGACCAGTCCATGGAGAAGACATTATGCTTGGTAAAGTGGAGGAGCAGGGCTAGAGAGGAATACCCTCAATAAGATTGATTCACACATTGGTTTCAGCAATGGAGTCAAACAAAAACAATTGTGAGGATGTTGCAGTGTCACTAACAACAAGAAAACACACTGGTGGGGGAACCCTGATGGCAGAGTGGTGCCTGATTGGGCTGCTAAACACTGGTCAGCAGGCTGAAACCATCCGCTGCTCCTCGAAGAAAGACTAGCTCTCGACGCCTGTAAAGAGCTACCGTCTTGGGAATCAATGGCAGTGAGTTTGGTCTTGGCTAGCCCCAAAGGTTGCTGACTCATCAATAACCTACCCCGATGGTTACCGATTACATTGAGGCTGATATTTGAAGAACACTTTTAGACCTACTGTCTTTAAGCTGCCTATCTCAAGTGAGGACATTTGGCTTCTATTTCATTAGGTTATTTAAAATAAGAGATGAATTACATTATTGTGAGTGCAATCACTTCCTCTCCCTTGAATTTATAATTATTAATATGCAGCTACTTGTTACTTTAAATAAGGTTCTACACTAAGATATAAATTAAATCTTTATGTTCAAACAAAATCCAACAGCTTCCTGTCAAGGGGATTACCACTCATAGCAATCCATATAGGACAGATAGAAATGTCCCAAAGGGTTTCCAAAGCTTTGTCATTTGTCTATGTCTTCCTCTTCTGCCCTTACCCAGGGGAAAGTTTTGCTTTTAAGGGTACATGTGACTACTTTGATTCTATCAGATAATCTAATTAGTCTCCCTATTTTGAGGTCAGTTACTTAGTGGTTTGGCTACATCTACACAGTCCCTTTGCCATGTAAGGTAACATTCATAGGCATGGTGCCAGGGAGCAGAGGTCTTAGGGTTCAGAATTTGGCCTACCACAATGCAGTATTCCTCTGACTATAATCCTCTCTCTTACCCCTAATTTTCCGCCCCTCACTTGCTAATTCATCCTTTAGCAAGCAGGTTCCTGAATTTCTTCTCTTCACTCCCTCTCCTCCTCTCCTCCAGCCATGTTTGGGTTAGGAACCCTTCCTCAGTGCTCATATACTATGACCCTGTACTTCCCTATTATAGTGGCTGCCTTTCTGTCCACTGATCCCTGTCAACTTTCTGAGGTATAAAGCTCACATTTCCTCTGCTAAATGGTGTCTGGCATACAGTTATTAGCCACTAGCGAAGCTTGAATTAGCAAATCCATACATGAAAGGGATGCACACAGTAACTTTCTTTTAAACGAATTTCAAGGACTCCTACCCACAAGAACCGAGTGATGATAATTTTGATTCCCCCCCCCCCTTTTTTT